TCAAGAATAAGCACCAAACAAACTGAATTTAGTCTTTTTTGTGGTTACACATCTAGTTTTTAAAATGATGATATATTTTCAGCTTTCATTATCGATTAAACTTCAGACATCAATGTCTATTATCGAGATAGAATGTCTCCAACTTCGTCGTTAAACTTGTTCCTCGTCGCTTCGTCCAAGCCTAGTTTAGCGGTTAGAAATCCGTCCTCATTAGCCTCAGTTTAGTGTACAATTGCTTCGTGATAAAACCAACTGGAAGGATAAAGAATAACAGACTTGAATTGAGAGTGAATGGTGGGTTTTGAGGAAAAACTATATGACGGGCGTAGAGTGCTTTTCACAGCCCCCTCACAGGCCAATTTACATACATTTACTGTATTTTACATGTACCTCTCTCCGCCCGGGATGTAGTCCTCATTCGTATATATCTAAGCCTTCGCTTTGAAACCAATACAGTTTCCATATTCTCAATTCCTTCCACTTGTAGTTTGAAAAAAAAAAAATGCGGACGATAAGTAGATTCTGAATGGATGTAAAAAACTCAAGGGACAGACTAATACAGTCCTTATAGTAGTAGTTAAAAAATTATGCATTCATCGAGTCAGTTCTCATGCATACTCACCACCAAATATTTTATTACATCGAAGGTAGGCGTCCCTCTGAAGCGTGTGAAGGAGTGCGGAGGAGCTAATTTACAACGATCACAACACTCAACAGGACACCAATGAGTAAGTTTATTTTAAAAACTACATTGACAGAAAAGAATTTTAATGGACGAATATGACTTTCACATCCATTGAAAACACGCCGAAAAAGTAAGTCTGGAATTACTCCAGTTACAGACGTGCCGTTTAGTTATCTTAAAGGACAATAGCTTGGGTTAACTGGATGTCGTGTGATTGGACGATACCGCGCCGCAAATAACAAGTAACAAAATGTTACGATTGATCCATATACCATATATAGAAACCGTGTTTGCATAATCCTTATCATTTTATCGATGCTCCAAGGAATTAAAGTCACAACACGGTTAATACAGAGATCGCATTGGATATTAGTATGTTTGGTCTGGTTTTGCGGAGAAAGGATACCCTTTCAATCTGCATAGTAAGCTAGCGCCAAGAGTTTGGTCTCAATAAAAGCCAATTGTAGTACCTAGTACCTTGGGGAGGTGGGTGTGTTGTATGAGCGTATAGAAATGGCTTGCGGGTTCATACTTTTGATGCTCTTAAATCGATTCCATTTTCGACCAAAACAAAACAAATTACACCATTGGCCTTCATTTCGTTTCCTCTTTTAGAATTTGTTACTTTTTGCCTCAAAATCCAAAATTGTGGAAAATCCCTATCGGGATTTACTCCTTGGATCGGACTTTTCCAAGGTGGAGTGTCGGAACTAAGAAAAAATTTACTTTAGTATTTCGACTTGAAATCAAACAGAAAAGTCAAATATTACTAGAAAAATTACTTTGACGCAGTTATTACGAAAGATTATCAATAAAATTATGGATTTTATGAGAATAATACTTTAGGGGTACTCGCTTAGAATCTGTGAATTTATTCCACTTTTTTTCTCATTTTTTCTCTTTTTTCATCAAACAAGGAATCGAAAAAAACATTCTAAAACTCCTCACTTGTGTTCCTGCCACTATAACATCGTGAAACAGAAAATAGAGCAGAGTCAAGTTACCATAGTTACCGCAACAGGTAAAAAGAAAGTCTTTGGGCCAAAGGGATGGATATTCTGTACAGTATCCCCGCATCAATGCTATTCAAGTGAAAACAGAAAACGTGAGTAGTGACTTTTATGTGTGTTCAAAAATATATATTTAGAGTGTGTGTTGATTTTTTTACTATTTCAAAGTATGGACTACCTGTGGTGCGACGAAGGTGAAGACACCACAGGCAGACCAATCCCTTTTTACGATTGTTCTGATTCATATTAGAAACCAGGTTGTAACTTGACACTTTTGGACCTTTTCTCTTTACCCTTTAACAAATCAAGGATATGTTGATTATTTTGCTAGCATAAAGTTCACATATAGTGAAAGGACTTTTGATGCTACTAATTTGCTTTTAAACCAAGTGAATTCAATTTTTATTCAGATAGAGAACAAAAGGAAATACTTTATAAACATCAACCGTTTCTTTTTCTGAATCCAATTATAATATGTTTTGTTCAACGCAGACCAAAATGTAAAATAAAATAGTTCAAAAGAAACCTAATGGAAAATTGTGGTTTAATTCAACAGTTGATAAGATGGTTCAGAGGCCCTTTCACTGGATGTGAATTAAGCGTGAGACCACGAGGTTGTGACTTCTTCACATCCATTGAAAGGACCTTTATCAACTTTCAAAACCTGCATATTTTGGCCATCTCTAAACATGACCAATATTTATGTATAAATAAAAGTATAACAGTGATCAAAAGAAAACGAATGAAATTAACATGCCCATTTAAGGAGTGGTTATGACTGAGCTTCGAAGGTCTTCACTGACTACCATGACTAACATGACTAATTCACATCCATTGAAAGGACGTTCTTTTTAATCAAAAAGTTAGATATATGTTTGGATGTACGCAAAACAAAACCAAAATAATTAAGTAATATAGAAAATTATAGAAAATGAAATTCCCTGCAGTTTTTCAAAGTTTTGTTAGCCTGTTTTCTGAAAAATTCTAGTTCATTTGAAATATTAYTTTCTAGAGAAACTTCAAGCCATTTTCATTGGATTGATAGGTTAGTTTACTTCATAAAAAAGAAAAATAACGATCAAAAGCTTGATTAAGTAGGTATCATGTTTAGGTCACCCATCTAAATACTAAACCCCCTTTACCGGGCTTCACTTGGTGTCTGCGAGGCGATGCCCACGTTTTTTCCACTGAGCCAAGAATCTAAG